AAGGGGAGAAAATCTTTTACACACTTGATTAAGCTTGCTACAGCATCCACATAAAGCTCATTAAGATTTTATAATGAAAAAGAAACAATTAAAACCTTCCAACACTTACTATAGCATTTCCAAAAAATGGATTACTCAAGTTCGGATGCACAAATTAAAACATACTAATTGATGTCAAGACATGGATCCTAAGCAAAGTATATAAACCTTCACTGCATGACTATAAATCATGTAAATGTGGACTGAAAGTTGAGAGGAAGGAAGAGGAAATGTGAAAAGGAGGATCAAAGTAAAGCCAAGAGAATATACGATTTCAGATTTTGTAAAGGATGCATGTTCTATTGCTCTTTCCTATCTTCTTGTTTGATGGAGTAGGGAAGAGAAGGAGAATAACGGGGAGGTACTCACAGCGAGGAGTTCGGGCTTGACTAGAGCCGGCGTCGGGATGGCTAGGGCTAGCGTCGGGATCGGTCTTGGAGGTCGGATCTAGGTTCGCTGCAGGAGTTTGATCCCAGTTGAGGTCGGACGGGCCTCGGCTTGGTCAGATTTCGCGAACTGGAGAAGGAGCGAGGATGCTCCTTCGTGCTTCTACCGACCAGAGAGAGCGAGCGAGAGAAAGACTAGTTCGGGTGTGTGAGAACCAGGGAGAAAACGAGAGAGAGAGATAGACGGGCTGAGCGAGTGGGGGAGAAGGCGAAATCGAGAGAGAGAGGGATCCCGACCGAAGAGAGCACGGCCCAGAGGGGAATCCCGATCCCCTTTCGATCTGGGAAGAGGAACCGAGAAGAGTCCATCCCTTCGACAGAGAGAAGGCCCGGGTCCTCAATGCGACTGCGACAACGGTCGACTTCGAATTTCGGGGAAATCGGAGCCGTTCGATGCAATTACCGGATTTAGGAAATGATTCAAATGAAAGCAAAAGTCAATTGGAATTTATTTGAATTAAATTGAGCTGATTTGAATCAGATTTGGGCTCAAACCAAGCTCAATTCTAGGCCAAATTGGGGTCAGGTTTGGGCTCGAGGCAGTTCGACCTAGTCATGCAAACAAAATTGCACCCTAATCGACATCAATTTGAATCAAATTAAACTCGATGCAATTAAAATAAATTAAATTGAGTGCAATCGAGTCTAATTGAAATCCATTTGGATCGATTCGAGTTCGAATTGGGCTTGACGAGGTCTAATCGAATTGATCGAATGCGCTCGAAGGTATTCGAGCGAAAAACGAGGTCAACAATAAGCCGTAAGATCCGCTTCAATTCAAACTTTGGGTAACCTCTAAGCTAAGTTATAAAACCAAATCAGATTAACTTTTGGGTATTCTAATAAATGTAAACCCCAAAACCTAATAAAACTAAAACTCATATCTGACCATCTTAGTCTACACGGGATCCCTGAGAGGAGGCAACCCATGATTGCTAATCAGATTCCCTGGACACTATGGTCATTGATTGTTAGTGTTGGTAGACTAAAACTTACGGTATATCCGGGACAACAAAACCATGGGATTTTGATTGGGTTACCTCCATTTTTCTCGTAATTGAGATTAAAATATCTAAAATTTTTCATCCTTAATCTAAAGTTCTCTCTTACGTGTTAAGAGGGGTAATTAATTATGAGTGCTTGCGCTCATGGAAAGTAAGGACCCATATCTAATTAAACCCTAACACTACCCTCTGGAAAGTAAGGACCCATTTTTCCCGTAATTGAGAATAAAATATCTAAAATTTTTCATCATTAATCTAAAGTTCTCTCTTACGTGTTAAGAGGGGTAATTAATTATGAGTGCTTGCGCTCATGGAAAGTAAGGACCCATATCTAATTAAACCCTAACACTACCCTATGGAGAAATCTGTACTACAGGAAAATCACTCATTACCGGTGGTTGCCATTAGTTTTCCGACTGGTTTGAAAAACACCAGCGGCTTATCGGCGGTTCAAAAATCGCCGGTAAAAACGGTGCCGGAAACCTTTTCCGGCGGTGTTTTTCCGATAGTTTTTTTCACCGGCGATGTATACCGCCTATTAGGTTCCGACTGTCAAAGCACCGGTGACCGCCGATTTTGTACCGGTGGTGTACCGGCTGTTCAACCGCCAGTAAAGTATCGTCGTTATTACAGCGTTGACCGCCGGTACGCCGCCAGTGATTTACTGGCAGCTTACCGGCTATTAAAACTGAAGGAAGTGCCATCGGTGAGACCGCCGGCGTGTCACCGGTGAACCGCCGGACACCGTCGGCATATCGTCGGTATTTACTGACAGTTTTAGTAGTTTGCCGGCGTCTTTAATTAGCCATATGATATCGAAGTTTCCGGCGGCCAAACCGCTAGTTGGCTGCCGAAAACCTATAGCATCTGAAAAAAAATGACAATCTCCCATCTATTTTACTAATTTTCATCCTAAACTCTAAACCTGCACATAAAATACATTAATTTCCACAAATTTTGGCAACACGCCACTATAGTCAATCATAATAATTATCACAAATATATTCATTAAACCAAATCAATAAGTGAAACCAAATAAGTTCATAACTAAGTTCAATAACTGAAACCAAATAAGTTCATAACCAAATAAGTTTACAATAAATTCATCATAAGTTCATCGAACAAAAAAGTGTACTAATCCTCCTCCGTATCCTCGCTGTCTGGTGTTGCATGTGGCTTCTCTTGCTCTTGCTCTTTCTTCTTTTGATTTTCATCTCTGTAGGATCGCAGCTCTGCCTGCATCTCATTTTGAACCTTTCTCATCTCTTTTATCTCTCTGTCAGCGCTACAACCCTCTGGCTTACACTTTCTTCAGCTCCTCTAGGATCATAAAATGCTGAGGTGGATGAACTGCCCTCATAAGCATAGCCTTGCGAACCCAAGCCATATACCCTCCCCCTCTGCCTTCCTCCAACATCTGACCATGTATGATACTCAGAAGTCTGGATCGATCCTGAAGATGATCCCTCACCACTGGACTGACGACTTTCCTGAGCTCGTAAAAAATCATCTTGCAAGAATAAATCCATAAAATATATTGATATTAGAATTAATTTTATTATAATAAATTTATATTCCCAAACTCCAAAAAATTATACTAACATGAGCCTTTTTAGCCTTTTCATCAACCCACTGATGGTCAGCTTGATGTTGATGAGTTCAAGTATGCAACTCTAGCGGTGTTGGCTCCCGACCAAGAAACTCTTTCTGAAAATATAAAATATAGTTATAATAAAATAAATATATTTAATAAACTAATTTAAAGCTTTTACCAGTCGTCGTCTATGTTCCGTATGAGAAATAGATCCACCAGTAGATCTACTCAAGCGAAAACCTTTAGACTCTATGGTTGACCTTCATAATTCAAGTTTACCATTAACCCCCTCTCTAGTCTTATCAACAAGAAGAATATCATCAACAAAAAGCATACAACAAGGTACACCCTCTCGCAAATGTCTAGTGAGAACATCCATGACTAAAGAAAAAAGAACATCCATGCTCATTTCGTATCCTATCTCTAGGGGTAAAGCCACTCATCCAACTGAGCACCCTCATCTCTGCAACAGTTAACTTAGTATTATGCTTCTCTTTTAATGACCAAGATTCGACACCATAAAGTATTGTAGATCTCACCACCATCTTATATAATTTTCCCTTATGTTTGAGGGGGACTTTTCTATCACACAACAAGCCCGATTCATTCCTCTATTTCAACCATCAAACTTGAATTCTGCTGATAATATCCCCTTCTATTTCACCATCACTCTGAACAATAGATCCAAGATATCTAAAACATGTACTTTTATTAATGACTTGATCGCCCAAAGTCACAAACCCCTTACTAGGTCTATTACTACTAAAATTACACTTCATATATTTAGTTTTAGATCTACTCAAGCGAAAACCTTTAAACTCTTTGGTTGACCTCCATAATTCAAGTTTACCATCAACTCCCTCTCTAGTCTTATCAACAATAAGAATATCATCAACAAAAAGCATACAACAAGGTACATCCTCTCGCAAATGTCTAGTGAGAACATCTATGACTAAAGCAAAAAGATATTGACTTAAGGCTGATCCTTGATGTAATATAACCGAAATAGCAACAAAATGCATAAAAAAAACTAAAAACGCAAACCTCGGCCTTGCAGTGGGGAGAGATCTTCGTTTGGAGGAACTTTTTGGCGGCCGGAGGACGCGTCTCGATCGCGAGAGGGAGGAGGAGATGGGGGCGAGCGTCGCGTAGGAGAGAGAGAGAGCAGGTGATGAAATGAAATGGAAGGCTTAGGACGGCTTATTCTAAACCGCCGGAAATAAATTTACTTAACACCGACAGTTCAAGCCGCCGGTAACGCGCTGGTAAGATTTAATGCCGGCGGTTTAACCGGTGGTCTCCGGACCGCCGCTATTTCCGGCGGCATTAATTTACATAACGACCGGTTAGACCGCCAGTAAAAACCGACTGTCACACAGTCGGTTAAGCCGCCGTTATTACTGACGGCTGGAGAACTGCCGGTCCAGACCGCCGGTAATTGATGAATTTCCTGTAGTGCTGGTTAATTACAATCTGACCCAAGGAAGATGGCATCCTATGTCTGCAAAACAGGATTCATGCATTTGTGCCGTTTTTCTTGAGCCAACAACAATGTCTAATCTAGGCATTTCTTCATTTATTCATTCTAGTTTTATCATGCATCCATTTTATTATTCTCATTTTTGCCGCATTCAACTTGGTTGCATTCAACTTGGTTTTTAATGGATTTTTTATTTCCCAACACTAAATGTTCAAATTCATATAGAATCAGATGGTCTTATTATAATTTTATGAAATTACCTTTGATTCATGATATTCGTTTATTGCATAGTACATCTTAGGCAGTTCTCCCTATGTTGCTTCATCTTATAACTAGTTATGAGAAGTTATTGGATGAAGAAGGTTTTTTAAATTTCATGCTTTACATTGAGAAATTTAGATTTTCTAATAAGTTCTTTATTGTTTATTTACTTGAAGGTAACCCTATGATGCATTATAATAAAGGTAAAAGCAGAGGTCAAAAGCATTTTTCAGATCTTCTACATGAGCTTCAAACAAGTAAGAAGTTAGTACCTATCCTAATTCTATATGCGTTGCATACATTATCATTATTCATATGATTCAAGCATATGTTTCAGGGCCAGATGTGTGGAAGAATTTTGAAATCTGTAAGAATTCTATTAGAATTTGGTTTTAGGTTCCAAAAGGACTTCTTGAAGGAATTAGGGTTACTTAATTGTTTTTCCATAAAATACAGCAACTGTGCTTGCTATACTTTCTCCTAATTGCTGAAAATATCAATTATAGTAATATTTTTTGGTTTTCTTCATGGGACAACATTTGGTAGACGATCTCATAAAAATTTCATGTCTATTGGAGATATTTCTGGTTTTTTATGAATTAGAAAATCAATAAAACATGCTGATTGCTTATAAACCCAATTGAATTAATTTTTCTATGATTCTAGGATTTACAAGGGATTTGTAGAATTATACTTGTATTTTTAGGATTTTATTTGAATTAGTTGTGAATTTTACAAATTTTATACTAATTAGGGAAATCTCATTAACTTAGGATTAGGATTTGAAAAATTTTCTATCTAAATGAACTCATATTTACATGAATTAAACCCATAAGCTAGGGGCAACATGAGGATCTCTAAAAAATTGAGGTTATGTAGTTTTAAAATGAATTATAGAGAATTACTTTAATATTAAATATTTTGTTCATTGAAAATACTAAAGATGTATTGGGGATGATTTAAATTACTTTTGAAACTTTATCATCTATTATTCATGGATTAAAAATGTTTTTTAAAATTTGCTTTAAAATTTTAAAATTTAATTTGATTTAATTTTTGAGTTATGAAAGATTTAAGTGACTTTATGATTCATTGGTTTTAGAAAATTTAATTAACTTTGATTTATCTTCAAACTTTTATGGAAAAATTCCAAAGATCTCAGAGAAATCCTAAGAATCATCCATAGAAATTTGAAGTCAAATTGAGTTGATTAAAACATGTAATTATTGGATTAACCTGACAAATTTATTAATTGATCTATTTATATACATAGAGGGAATTAGGTTTTGATTTTAATTTCATGGTATTTTTTCCCTGATTCATTAGAGGTGTTATTCATTATATTTTGAATAAAAATGAATTATGAATTTTTGAAGTTTATATGTTTAATTAAATTTATTAAATCCTTATTTTTTCCTTTACACAGTATACAATTTGATTTGGATTGCACATTACATGTAGCGGGGACCTCATTTGAGGCTTTTGAAATAACGAGGCCTGCTACCGCACGAGATATAATTACGGTGTCTTGTGTAAGATCAGACAATTTCTAACTAAACCATGGCTTAACGAATATATAAATTTAGATGTAACGAAATATAAACTTTTGATGAAATCAGATGACGTTGAGATCGTCTCTTACCTCTTGGCCATGTAGATAGTTTCAGTTTGCTGTGACTAGAGGAGATCCATGAAGGATTTCATTTCAAGGACAGAGAAAGAAATGCAGGATTCCCTATGAATGTACCCTAGCCAGATGTGAATTCTTTTTGCAAACACTGGAGACCTAAGGCTGATCTAAGTGTTTTTACCATACGTTTGCTTGAGTTCAAATTGGAAATCCAAATTGATTGAGGAGCTTCAGGGAAACATAACGAAGCTTTGTTGAAGCTTTCATAGAATAGCTCCTCATTGATCCTTAGTGATTCTCTTTGTGATCTCTTCATGACCTGATGCCTAAATTATGTTTGAAGCTTCTTCTCATATGCTTTTTTTTAAATTGTATTGTTAGGTTTATTATTATTCTTTTAATGATGTAATACCTGGATCACGGATCTTCATTCTTGGAGGAATTCACTTATATTAATTTTAGGCCTTCATTAAGGGAAAGCTATTGGCCAAACTTCCCAGATGAACTATTTTTTTAGTAATCCTAGATTATATTTGAGTAAAAACTAATTGCTTTTTTATTTCTTTTTTTCCCTTCACTCGATGATATAAAGTTGAATATCTAGCACTTTTATATTCGTTTAATGCAAATATAATGTCCAAAGAGCTATGATTTAAGTCATAGATCCATGTCTTGCTTCCTACCAAGCTTTCTAGTATACTCTGGAAACAACATGAGTAACCCTTTTTGTGTTTGTATTAAAATTTAGTATGTTTTATTTAATTATTTATTATTGCACCCCTATGATGTTATCCTTATTTTGGGATGGAATATTTCCTCTCTTGCTTAGTTTTTATTTAATTTTCTTACAAGTCACTTATAAAATTTTAATACACGTACACCTTCATATCATTTGCTTGGGTTTAATTCTACTGTTTTTTTATGAATTGCTTTGGAAAAAAAATCCATCAAAATTCCATTGACAGTTTCCCAAAGGGCGCTCGGTCAACAAGAGCCGTGAGACCACCTCTAAGTCTCATTTCAAAGGTCAATCAAGTATCTCGCCAGTTAGTCTTCTGTGATGTTGATCTGCAGCAATGTCCTGCTCACAAGAAAAGGGGAGTAGACATAAAATCTTCCAAAGAGTTGTATTTAAAGGATTCAAGCAAGGTCGCTTCAGCTGACCCTTATGAATCTAATATTGGAGACATTTCACAGAAACTAAAGACCCCCCACAGTCTAATTTGCCAGAACAATGCCAATTCGTCAATCAAGTATACTCTAGATAGGCCACCTTTAACTATTAGTTGCTTGCTGACCAATGGCCTTCTAGAAAGACTCTTGGAACACTACAAGAAAGATAGGGTAAAATGTTTGAATTTGTGAGTTTGTTTGCTTACTGTATGCAGGATTGTCATTTTAAGATGTATCTCTTTTAGATTAAGCTTCTTAGATGCATAAAAGGTATTGGAATCAGTTTTGGCTGCTCATCGCATCACTTGAATGAGGTTGGTTGATTTGTCTTATAGTTATTAAAATTTTCTTATTTATGTAAATGTACTAAGTTATGAAGCATTCTTTGGCTGAATTGTTGGTGAATGCCTAGGTGCTGTCATTGAATTTTGAAAAGCATGGAGGTGCTTCTAGTATGAAGTCAAAAGATTACATTTTTCTCAATGACAAGTTAGCTCTCTATGCATTAGTTGAAGAATTTGGGAAAGTTCCTCTTGGATTATTGCCAGGTGAATTGATTCAGAAGATGATTGGTTGTCAGCCTAATGATATAAGATCTTTGGCTTGGAAAGGTGATATATATATATATATATTATCATTTTGTATGTTTATTTTCATTCCGATGTATTGCTATATGTCAAGTTTTTTTTTTTTTTGTGCTATGGATTTCATTAATATGTTCTTTTGTAGAACCATTTCATAGAAAGGAGATTAATCTTCAAAGTAGTACTTGTGATGATGGCAAAAATCAATCCGCACATATGTTGCTTCATATCAGACCTCGTGCAGAAAGGTGAATTCCTTGTGACATTAACAAATGCTTATATTTGTCATTTTTTTTGTTTTGTTTCAATTTAGGTGGTTAATTTTTATCTTCAAGAAGCATGCCATGGATGTTGGATGGCCTATTTTGGTAATCTATATTTGATGAACCTTATTCAAGTTATGACTTCTGAATACCCTAGTTTTATGGGACTCAAGCAAAATATCCTGATATGATATGACATGTATTTAGTCATTAGTTCATAAAAAATATTACAACAACAACAACAAGCCTTTATCCCACTATGTGGGGTCAGCTACATGAATCGTTTTTGCTCATTGTGCTTTGTTAAAAATTAAATTCTCATTTAAATCTAATAAAGAAAGGTCATTTCTAATATTTTCTAATCAAGTCTTACCTCTACCGTTCTTAACATAAGTCAAATCTAATAAATCTACTTTCCTAACTGGGTCATCGGAAGGCCGCCATTTTATGTGACCAAACCATCTAAGGAGACTCTCTATAATCTTATCGTTCACTGGAGCTACTCCAACCTTTTCATGTATATGCTCATTTCATATACCGTCTTTAAGAGTAAAGCCACTCATCCATCTGAGCATCCTCATCTATGCAACACTTAACTTAATATTATGCTTCTCTTTTGCTGGCCAACATTCCGCACCATAAAGCATTGCAGGTCTAACCACCATCTTATAGAATATTCCCTTAAGTTTATGGGGGACTTTTCTCTCACACAATAAGCTCGATGCATTCCTCCACTTTAACCATTCAACTTGAATTCTACCAATAATATCCCCATCTCACTATCACTTCGAACAATAGGCTCAAGATGTCTAAAACATATACTCTTATTGATGACTTGATCACTCGAAGTCACAACCCACCACAATAACTATTATTACTAAAATTACACTTCATATATTCAGCTTTAAATCTACTCAAACGAAAGCCTTTAGACTCTAAGATTGACCTCCATAATTTAAGTTTACCTTCAACTCCCTCTCTAGTCTTATCAATAAGAAGAATATCATCAGCAAAAAGTATACGGCAGGGTACAACCTCTTGCAAATGTTTAGTGAGAACATCCATGACTAAAGCAAAATGATATGGGCTTAAGGCTGAACCTTGATGTAATCCAACTGAAATAGAAAAATACTTGGTCAAACCACCTTATGTTTGAACACAAGTAGCAACTCCTACATACATATCCTTAATGACTTAAATATAGACATTATTAACCCCTTTCTTTTCTAGAACTCTCCATAGCACATCTTTTTGAACTTTATCATACGCGTTATCTAAATCAATAAATAACATATGGAGATCCTCCTTAATCTCTCTATACTTCTCCATCAAACCTCTCAATAAATGTATAGCTTCCATAGTTGACCTACCCGACATGAATCCAAATTGATTTTGAGAAACATTAGTATCATGCCGTAACCTATGCTCCATAACTCTCTCCCATAGTTTTAAAGTATGACACATTAACTTAATACCTCTATAATTCACACAATCTTGTGCATCACCTTTATTCTTATAAATATGAATGTACACACTCATTTTCTACTCATCTGGCATCTTTTTGGTCTTCAAAATAATATTAAAAAGTTTAGTAAGCCAAGTCATTTCTTTCTCTTAAACATTTCCACACATCTATTGGAATTTCATCAGGTCTAACAGCTTTTTCACACTTCATTTTCTTTAAAGCCTCTCTAACTTCGGTTTTACTAATACGTTGATAAAAATAAAAAAAAATTATTTTCATTTATGATGCTAAGGTTGCTAAAGTTTATTGCATTCTCATAATTCATTGAAGAATTTACAAAAATATCTTATCCACCTTTGTTGAATATTTGCTTGTAATAAAAGCACTTTTTGATCTTCATCCTTAATACACTTCACTTGAACTAAATCCTTACTTCTTTTATCTCTATGTTTGGCTAACTTATACATATATCTTTCTCCCTAAGGCTCCTTAGTATTATATAGATCATTAAAAGCTAAAGTCTTTGGATCGCATATTACTTTCTTAGACTATTTACGAATCTCTTTATATTTTTTCCAATTATTTGAATTTTTACATATAAACCAATTTTTATAAGTTTTTTATTTTTTCTTGCACATTTTGATTCCATTATTAACTATTTTTTACTTTTAGGAGTTTTTCCCTTTGATACTTCAATTATATCTTTTGCAACATTTTAATCTCACTAGCTATTTTTTTCACATAACATTAGCTTTCCCATACACAAACAAAATATTAAAATATAGTATTTTACTCTAAAAAATATTTTTGTTAAAATTTTTTAAATACCACTATCTAATCCTAGAATAATATTTTTCTTTATTTTTTATTTTCTGCCTCTTCATCTTAAAGTCCAAAATTATTTAAGTGTTGTTGGGTAGATAAACTTTCATGTGGAATAGCTTTACAATCTAAACGATCTGTTTTTTTATAAGAAATTAATCAATCTCAGTTTTACTATATACATTTTCATAAGTGATGAGAAACTCATATTTTTTTTAAATAAGATATTAACAATTACAAAATCAGAAACTAAAAAAAAATATGGTCTTACCACATTCATTAGTCGCTCCAAACTCATAGCCATCATGAATGCTTTTAAAACCATCTACCTCTCTACCAACATGTCCATTTAAATCTCCTCCCATAAGTTTTTTTTCTTCAAGAGGTATCTTTTATATAAATTTTTCTAAGTCATTCCAAAAATTTAATTTTGAATTCATATCCAAACCTACTTGAGGAGCATAAGTGCTTATGATATTAATAATCTTAGCATCAACAATAATTTTTAAAGCTATAATTCTTTCTCTAATTCTATTAATTTTTTCAACATTATCCTTTAAACTCTTATCTATAATCCAATGTTTAAAATTGCGTATTCGGGTATTGAAGCGTTTTTCATTCGTGAGGCGAGGCGTAAGCCTCAAGGCGTTTTGAGGCGTAAGCCTCAAAATCAAAAGATTGCGTAAACATAAAATGATAAAATTTTATATACTAATGAGTGAATAATATAAAACATAAAAATGCATAAGATATGAAGTAAAATCAAAATATCTCAATAATAAGACAACATGAAATATAGTTCAACTCAAAATTTTATCTTTTCCAAATCCCAGTATTCTTTTCATTAACATATAATTCCAATTTCCAAAAATAAATAGCAATGACATATCACATAAGAACTCATAAGTCATCAGCACTGTCATCACTAAGGGGTTCTTCATTTGAATCATCATTATGGTGAACTCCTCTCTCCCCTTTCTCCTCTCCAATAGAGTCCAATGTCGGACATTTACTTCAAGATTTATGTAAGTTTTAATATATATAGCATGAGGCGTAAGCCTCATGCCAATGAGAGGCGAGGCGGGCCTCAAGACGGGCCTAAACCAAGTTGAGGCGCAAGCCTCATAAAAAAAACTCGAGGCGTAAGCATCGAGGAGTTTTTTACTGGAATTGCGCAAAGGCGGGCCTTAAGGCGAGCCTCATATTGCGCAATTTTAAACCATGCTATAATCACACCTACATCATCTGTAGTACGACTCTTGTCAGAATACCATAGTTGAAATCCTAAATTATCAATCTCCTTAGCCTTCTCTCCAACCCATTTAATTTACTAAATGCATATAAGATTTATTTTCTTATAGTCATAATATATATTAATTCCTTTAATTTACCTGTAAGGAGACCTATATTCCAAGTTCATATCTTAATTTTAGTTTCTGGACTTGCCTCTTTACCCACATTCGTCCATGATGTGGCCCTTGCCTCTTTAACACTACACCCGTGCAGCGGCCCTTGCACACTTGTTGTTATTTTCAATTGTTATATTTAGGTCATACAACATGTCTCTTTTATAAATGACATTGTTTCATAAGTTATATAAATATAGTGCTTTTATATTTGAGTAATAACTAACTAATTATCCCTATCATTCGCTGTGGAAAATTTATTTTAAAATTAGAAAAAATAGAGGCACTCATGTTCTAGGCACTTATAACTAAGTTATGACGAATTAAGATATTGATATTAATGTTTCATTTAAAATTTATGTATTGTCTTATGATTTTATGAGCACATTTATATTTCAACTTGATATGAAAATAAAATCTGATTGCAAGTTAATTCACTTAAATGATTGAAAGAACAACCTCAACTAGAAAATCATGTAGAAATACATATTTATGAAATAATCATGGATTTCTTTTTTTGTATCATATCATAATTGTCATGCCCTATTTTGGCCCCTCCCATTCAACCAGGAGTAATAACAGAGGTGGATAATAAAGTTAGATATATTTTTAACCAAAATCTTCCTGATTTTGCTAATCAGGATTGAGTGAAAACAGTTTTTTTTTATATTGTCACAAAAAATATATCTTATATTTCACAATCATCTAATAGATCCATTAGAAGCATTAATTCATAAGCATGCAGAAATAAAGTTATCCAATGAATTACAAAGCTTCTAAATAATTGTAAATATAAATTCATATGTACCTAAAGTCTTTAATATACATTATACATAATTTCTTGAATAGTGCATCCAAAATTGTACACCCAAAAAGCTATTTTACTGGACATAATCGGTCACCTGTCAATGGCCCTAATTGTTCTTTCCCCTTACCTGAAAGAGCTAAATGCTTATCGGGTTAAAATAAAGTTTAACATACAAGAAAAGAATATAACATGCTATATTGATCAAATAAACTAATATGAGCATTTATCTTCATGAATATTGCTAGCTTTGTACAATATTTTAATTCAAAGCCTATTTTAATTATTTCATAAGTAATAAGCATTAATATCTATAAATAATTAAGTATATATGTAAAATGCCAAATCATTTAATGCATTATGTTAGTCAATTGTTGGGATGAAATTTCTTGTTTTACTTTCAATTTCTTCTCAATTTATACTTATCACTTTCTTTAAAATGTTATGTAAATTTTATATAGGCTTTGACACATTTATATTATTTAGT